AAGCATTTGAGCAAGGGTATAGAAGCTGCTCATTAATTAAGATGCAGTATTATATATCACGTGACAAACGTGCAGGTTACAGACATTTGAATGCAGTGAAGCTTGGAAGTGAACACTATTTTTTCCACATACTGTAAACTTGGTGTAGATTTTTCAGCAGTTCAGTTTTGAAAAGGGAAGATTTTTTCAAATATGATTAAAACTTTTATTTACCGTAGAAATTCCTGATCAAATAAATTATTATAAAGTCTGACTTTTAGGTTGGGTTTTTTTTCTTCACACCAGTGATTTTCTTAGATATTTAGGTGGTTATTCTGACTTTTAAATTGCTCTAAATGTTAAAGGTATTAATATAACTCAAAGCTAATCATAAGCTTTTTTGAGGGTACAATCTGATGCAGAAATAACACAATGAAAAAAGATAGCTTGTTAATTGTGATATGAGATAAACTATTCCAAATCACTGTTGTTTGTAGCCAGCATGTCTTTATGTATAATAAATCTGGAATGTTTTGCAAGTACAGTATCTCCTGCCTTGGCCTGCCTATATAGTTTAAAACACTGTATAAATTACTGATATTTATTTTTGTTTAACCCTGGATGCAAAAATTGAGTGCACACAATTTGGTAGAAAGTTCTAGTTGTTTGTTGGTTTTGTGTGTGTTTGTTTTTTTAAGAAACCTTTTTCTTCTATGGAAATATCAAAGCTTTGTATTGTGCACTGATTTCTTTTAGCAGCTGCATAACACCAAGACAAATAAGTTTTGTTGTATATTGTAAGATATACAAGTCATTGTTCTACATTGTTAGTTCTTACTTTGAAGTTCTCATTTGTTGTTTACATCCTTCTCCCCCTTCCTCGCTTCCTCCTTCCCTCCCCCATATATTCATAGACTTGGAAAAAAAATCTGGCAAGCTGCAAGTACTGTTTTGTCAAATATCCAAAAAAAAATAATCTCTGATGGATGTTAAACCTTCAAGATGCCACCTCTGGCCTAAGGGTGAACCCTGTAATGAAGACAAGTGAACAGTGATCAGTAGTCCTAAACTATCTTTGATTAATATTGTTAGTCTACTTATTGATTGACTTTTAAATCAGGTATTAAAGTATTGCTATGAATTTTTGTAAATAGTGACAAGATGAATGTCTGTCTTCTGTCAGGACAAACTGAGACATCACCTTTTATTTTTTTCTAAAGATTTATGACAGTTGCATGTTAGACTCTATTGGTTTGACAGTTATTTAAATTTTCATAGGACCTAAATACAAATGCTATAAAATACAGGACAGTGATATGCTGAGACCCCGTTTTCAGGGAACTACTTGCTGGGTTTGGGCTTTTTTTTTTTTAAATTAGGAAGAAAGTGTGACTAGGCACATGAAAGCAGTTCTGTAGATACCACCCTCCATGGCTTTAAATAACAGGGACAGCACAGATGTTTGACATCAGTATTGTTTACATGGCCTTAGGGTTTAATTGCCTCATACTCTTTGTAAGGAGAATAAACAATGACAGAAATCCAAAGGAATGATGTGCAGACAGCAGCAATGGCTGCATTTCATACATAGCTGCAAACTTCTCAACTATAGCTAAATATCTACACTTTTTTTTTGTCTGAATGGTAACAGGATCAATTTAATGTTCTCTGCTGCCTCTTAACTGGTAGTAAAAGATATTAAAACTGATGAGCATGAGCAGAGTTAATTACTTCCAACAAGGTGAATGACTTCTCTAAGTTCTTTTTATATATTTTTCTCTAATACTTATGAAGATCTTTGATAATTGCTGTTGGTGATTTTGTTTCTTGAGATGTGTTTAATAAATAAAGCTGAAAAGTGACGGGCATTTTTTAGCAGAGGAGCATGTGAAGTTACCAAGTGCTATTTCACAGCAAAGTGAGATGAACTTAGCACATGAGGTTTGACATTTGGGAACTAAGAGATGCGGTCGGCTTGGTTTGCTATGGTTTTAATTTGAAAGCTCCTCCTCTGCAGAAATCGGTATTTAACAAGGCATTTAAGCTTTGAAATGGAAGGGGAGAAGTTTCACTCCCAGTTGTGATGAGCCCATTTGCTTCAATCCCAGCCTTAACGAGATCACTTTAAGAAACGTGTTTACACGACTCAATTTTTTTATCTACAAATGTGAGGAGATTGGAAGTCTGCCTTACACAAAGGGTGGGTCAAAAAGCAGACCCCTAAATGAAGCCAGTACTCCAAGCTTTCCTACAGGATGTTGGTTTGTTGTCCTTATGCTTTCTGTCTTTCCTAGCAGTTTTGTACAAAAAGAAATTGTAAGTGCAGGATTTTTTTAAACCAATGTATCTTTGTTTTTACAGCAGATGTTCAAATTAACACTTCCAGAAGCTGTGTTGGAGATGTGTGTCCTAGAACTACAAAATTTAAATGTTGTTGGAATTTTGTATCTTCATTGTTTTACCAGTTATTACAAACACAGGTTTCCTCTTAAGACTAGCTGAAAATTCTGTGTGCACATCAACTATTGAATTTCAAACAGTTTAATATGTGTCTCCTCACATTTATTTCTATAGTAGGTCCTGAAGGGACAAAATTACATAAGTTGTGGAGAAAGACAGGGCCAGAAAATGTCTGGGGTGCTGATGTCAGAATTTTATTACATTTATAAAACTTGAGGACCCTGAATACTTTGAAGGTATCACCTTTTCAGCCCTCAAGAGATGAGGAGTTGGTCCTTAGGATTTTTCACATAGGGTTGGGGTTTAAAAAATTATTTTATTCAAAGAAAAGATGGTCTATTTTCATATTATAGTGCCTTCATTAAGAGCTGACTGCTGGATTTTGGACACATTTTTAACATTTGTTGTTTGATTGCAACTAGCTCTCCTTTTTGGAAAGCAGTCCCAAAATCTGTGAAATCTTAAGAGCTGCTTGTTTTACTGAAAGTAGTGCAATGAATTACTGAACTAAAATTGATGAGAACTAATGGAAGTGCAAGAGTGATGTTAAGTGGAAGATTAATAACAAGGAGTGGGAGCTGACTTCAAGTACAGGGATTCTGCTGGCAACCTGTGGGAAGGCAGCCACGTGCCTGAGAGCAATCACCATCACTGGAAAACGTGTGTCCGTGTTTAACACAAGACAAATTTTAGAGTTTGATTTATTTTTATGTTCCTTCAACCTAATGAATAATATAACGTAGACCAGAGCTCTGCTGATGCAAGCTGCCAAGGATTAATTTACATCAGCCAAGACCTTCTCACTTTATTAATGAGTTTTAAATGTAATGTGTTTGTGTGGATTTAAGAGCTATGTGAGTGTGGTAGCTATACATCAGTAATTCACAAGCTTTTAATGTAATTCAATTAGATTGGAGTCTCTTTCATGTTTAGTTTCTAGTATTTGTGTTTTTACAAGACCTTCATATTTATTTATGGGATGTTCACAAAGTGTCTATGTGGAAGTGGATTACTGTGCTCTTTTTAAAAAATCAACACTTATTATCACCTGATGCTAAGATTTTCTTCTATAATGTCATGTTGTTGGGGGATTTATGCATATATTTCTTTTCATTTATACATATGCATATATTTCATGACTAGAGCATGTAGTTTCATCATGATGGTTATTTTTGGATGATAAAAGAGATGGCTGACAGCTGAGAATACTATTTATTTTCTTTGGATTAATTATCAATCTAACTTTTTTCCCCTTGGTGATTTGCATAAGACTATGTACCTGTTTCATCGTGGAGGATCGGTGCCCTCTTTATATGCAGTATAAGAAGCAGATGGATACTTTGGCTATCAGTGGATGTGTAGTCCAGACACTGGACAGATTTGCAGCTCCTGTTTCTTCTGTTATCAATTCTTGAGGAGTCTTCTGCATTTACTGCACATTTTGGCATTTTCAAATTGATTTGGATTTTTGTAACTCACGTTTTCAAGTGACAGTAATGTAGTGATATTTTCAAATCACAGTAAACAGAAATACATAACACAAAGTAATCATATAAAATAAATTAATAATGTGCAGTGAGTTTATTGTTTGTATATGTTAGATAAAGACTGATGCCTGAACAACTACTTTTAATGTAGTGATATTTTCAAATCACAGTAAACAGAAATACATAACACAAAGTAATCATATAAAATAATGTGCAGTGAGTTTGTTTGTATATGTTAGATAAAAATTGATGCCTGAATGACTACTTTTGATAAGTCAAAGGAATAAAAATAAAGACAGAATGGTTAATGTTTGTTGATTCCTTTCAGAGAGTTAGAAGCCAGGTTCTTAGTTCTGTCACTCTGGGGGAACTTTTTCTGTCCACTCAGTGGCACGGTGAAACTCTGCAGGAGATTTAAAAGTACTTTGAAAAAGAAAACTTAGACTCTAAGGAAGAAGTGGCAATGTGTAACTGTGTTGGAGGGGTTCAAGTGCACTACTTTCAACAAACACAAGCAGGAAATGTATTTTAGCAATCAAATTCAGCAGCGATCTCCTTAATCCCATTATAAGTAGCCTTTAAAAGGAAATGTGTTTGTAATGTGAAATCTCTGAATAATAGAGAACAAACAAAAATAAACATCCCTCTGGGCTAAAGGACGTTCTTTGTATAAATGTAACACCTGCCTAAAGAATAGAAGCAAGCTTTACTTTACCATACTTGGTATATTAACAGAAATATTAAAAAATTTTGTTCTTAAGTGTTTATTTAAACAAAAGAGGATAGCTTTTTCTGGGCAGTAGCAGCTGGTTTTGCTGCCAACTAAAACATCTTACAAATTCATTTTCTAAATAAACATTTTAGGTTGAGCTCTTTTGTAACAGTTTTAGCAAATAAACTTGAAAATACTGAGAAACTGAATATCGATTTTTTTCATGGCAATTATTTGTTAGTGAATTCCCATTGCCTTCTGAAAGACATACGTGAATAATTTAAAAGTTATACAAGGGTCATTAGTGTAATTATTTTTTTATTTTAATTAAGTTATGTATCTGTTCTGTTTTGTTTTTAAAGCTGGAGATTAAAATGAAAATAGCAGAACGCAAGTTTCACGAAGAGAGACTTAAATTAGAGCAGAAACATGATGCTGATGTTCAAAAGGTAAGAAGTAATGGTATTTTTTTCCAAAGACAGTCTACAAAGCAAAATAAGTCTGATTACAATAAATAATTAACAGTTGTGCTTTAACTTCTTCACAATTGCAGTTACTGTTCCTTTAAAGTAAGTTTGTAGGTAACAGTTTGTATAAGCTGATAGGCATGCAGAATATTCTGTGATAACATAAACTTAGGAAGGGAAAAAAGCTTTCAGAAAGGAGATGAAAATAGAAGGTGGTTTGTTTGTTTGAACAAGACAATCTATTTTACCAGCCTAACAGCTCCTATAGATTCATGTGCTGATGAAATCATAAAGTTGCTTTTTTCCTGTTAGAGGGAAAGCACTTCTATTATAGAAAAATAGGAACAAAAATACTTAAACAAATTCTGTTTCCATGATCAAAATGCAAAAAGTAACAGGAAAATAATGAAACCTATTGCAGATGTCCCCAGTAATACAGCAACAGGGTTTTTTCTCATGTCTGCGTTTTGACACTGTATCTTAAAACATAGGCTGGTCAATAAACACTTTGTTATTTATGTTATTACATTGTTAAAGCTGTATGTGGCTTTTAATTCTTCACAGCAATAAAATGACACCAGATATACTTCCTTTGGGTTAAGTTGGATTTGTCTTTACTGCGTTGTATAACACCACTTTTGGGAGGATTACAAAAAGACCATCAAAGACCATACTGTTACTTTTAATACCACATTTTAAACACGTGGGGTCAAATTCTGCAAGGTCCTAAGTGCCTTCTGAAGCCCTCTGATCCCAGGAGTTACATGCTCAGCATCAGGATTGTGGTGACTTATCCTCCTGTAAGCCTTGCATTGCTGAGCACCTCTGTTTTGTTTCTCAAGCCTGAGTCACAGCCACAGAGGAAGTTGGTTGACACAACACTATGACACATCAAAGCCTCTCGAAAGGATGTTAATATTTGGTCAGGTGCATATTTGGCTCATCTGTTCTCCAAGTCCGCAAGCACAACTAGCTAGAAAAGCTCAAAGTCTAAAGGAAACAGCTTTGTGAGAAGAAGAAATAGTTTAAATGCTTTCTCATCCCTTGAGTTATCATCCTTTTCTAACTGATGTTAGAATTCCATCTTTTGAAGTAGTTTAATAACATTGGATATTTTAGAAAAGGTTAAATAGTGTCATATTAATCTTTAAAGACACAAAACATTTAATGCAGATGGAGTGATATTGTTTTAAGATGAAAGCTCCTGTTTGATGAGAGTTTTGGAGCGCTGTTATACAATTTCTGTGACTTTAATGTTTATCTTAAACATGAAGTTTAAATTAAAAAACTATCTCAAACTGTGCAAATATTTGAGCTTCCCTCCCCACCAATCGGTGTGTACAGAAATGGGACTGTAGATCCACCTCATATACCTGCTCTACTCCAACCCATTGTTTCTTGGAATACATGCAAAGAATTGCATTTAGTGAAGTACAGAGGAGCTTAAGGAAGGTCATGAGTTATTTAAGTATTTCTTAAACCTGCTGAGAATTTTAGATGCAAAGCAAATGTGAAAAGGGAAACAAATCCTTTCTATTTGCAGTAGTAGCACCGTGAAGCTTCCAAACTCAACAAAAGCAATGTTTGATTTGCCCCAGTTTAAAAGGAAACAAAAAGACTCTCCCCTAAAACTCTTTTTTAATCTACTCTACTGCCTACGTTTGTCTGAATCCTCTGTTTATGACTTGGCAGTCTTAGCTGTTAAAATTACTTAGATTGAATCACTTAGTCCTGCAGTATCTAAGCACTTCTCAAAGGCAGCTCCTTTGACAAGAGATCAGTGTATATTATTTTGTGCACTCATTGTGGTTTTGGATTTTTGGACTTTTGGTAAAGTATTATGAATTTCTCCTTTCCCTACAGATTTTGAATAGGAAGAATGACGAAATAGAGGTGTTGAAGTCCCTCCACAAAACCAAACAAAATGAAGCTGAGGAGATGAATAGAAAACTGGAGAAGAAAGGTGGTTTTTATCTTCATGGTGGTTGTTTTTTGGGTGGTGGTGTTATACTGCATCCTTCTTGTGGCTAGGGGCTTATGTGTTCCTTCTAGGTGCTGATGTCCCTTTCCTCTTCATTTGCAAGTCTTGACCTCATTTTGCCTTCAGATTTTTAGAGGCTTGTCTGGTTGTCTTTACTGTCCAGTTTCCAACCCAAATTTTCCAAGAGGCAGTGTGATCTTGTTATATTTAAGAAAGGTTTTATGAACGTCACCAAAAAAAAGTTTCTTTGATGATACCAAAGTATTTTGACCACTTATTTCAAACGTTTTGGAATTGCTGGCTCAAGGTTAATTTATTTTTACATTCAGTACATTTTAACTGAACCACAGTGTATTATTTATTTAGGACTCTTGCAGCAAGAGATTTCAAACAGGAGTAGTAGTCCTGAATATGCCGTAAGTACAAAACTTGGCCTGAGTGTGGCTTGTCAGCATTTTGTGAATGTTAGTTTCTTTTAGAATTCCTTGGTATCTGTTTACACTATGGACTAAACCACAATGTAAAATAATACACAAGTTTGGGAACCTACATACAAAAGAGGGGAGAGTTCCACGTGTATTGTTTCCTGCTCCTTGGCAATGTAAATTGTCCAGCAAGGGATCTGTGCTTCTGTTGGTGGGCTGGCGGTTGTGATCAGCTGTGATGGGTTGTGTTCAAGTCACCAACACTCTTGCCAGACAGTGAAAACCATCAGTCACTTTTGAAAACTGGATATCTACCTGCTTTGTTTACCACAAATTTCGTCAGACTGTGAATTCTTTTGCAATCACTTGCAATTTATGTTGGGAACTTAATTTCCTTGTCTATCTTGGTCATTCAACCTTCACAAGAATCTTTCATCCAAAGGATGCACATAAAATCAGGTTGAAAATGCCTGTTTTCTTTGGGTTACAGAATTTTGTTGATGTATATTTACTGCTTCAGTAAGGAAAACTACTTAAATATTTTGTAAATAAAGTAGAGAAGAGAGAAGGCCTTGTGATATTTTGGTGACACAGAATCAAAGTCCTAAATTTTAAAGGAGCACATGCATTAGGTATTTTCCAGAGCCAAAATCCATCAGAAGCCCAGGTCAATTGGAAAAGTGCTGTAATCTGATTGCATCTGTTGCCAACACTGAAAAAAATCCCAAAGGTATCTCTTGAATGGTTGTTTATTTTCCCATTTTTGACAGTTCAGACCCTTGTTCGAGAGTCACAAGTCGTCAGAGAAGCAAAAGAGAAGCAGATTGTGGAGTTAAAGAAGATGTGTGAGCAGAGCAATGATTCTTTGAACAATGAGTGGGAGAAAAGGGTAATGAATAACACTTGCTTTCTTTGAAAGACTCCTACACTGTGTATCTGGGATAATGCATTTTGTCAGTTAAAAAAAAAAAAGGAATATTGTTACTCTTAGTGATATTTTTTTACACTGATTATTTTTCTGGAGTAATCTTGCAAGAGTCATTTTGCACCCCCACCCCCACCCAACTGGCCACGCTGTCCCTGGGGTTCATCTGACCCTCGTGGCAAAGCTCTGGGTGTATTAGGGAAGTGTTTATTTCTGGTTGACCTGAGATGGAATTTTAATCACAGTAAACCTGCTGCTACCTGCTGCCACAGTGATTCCTTTGAACTGGTATTTTTGCATCGGGTCACGAATTCTTCAATCGTTTTTATTTATTGTTAGGCTTGAGACAGCAGCAAAGCAGAGAGAAAAGCATCTTTATTCAAAGACAGCTTCACCCTTGTCCAGATTATTGTCAGTATTTGTCTTGCTTACCCCTCTCAGGAGAGGGAGGGTCACAAAAAGGGCAGAACCATCTCCCTTCGTAGACATGTGCCATTTAATTTAATTTTTTTGCAGCCCTTCATCTGGAAGTGTTGGTTTTAATTCTTGTCTTGCAAGAGATAAATTGTAAATCTTGTCCTTTGTTCTTAAGACCGTGGGGCTTCAGTGTTAGGTGGGGTTTTTTGTTTTGATTAGAGAAGCATTATTTTTAGCCCAAGGTCATCCTACTTTGTGTACTTACCTAGAAAGTGCTGGTCCTACAGCTGTAATTGTCATCAGTGGTGCCAGTGTGCAAATGAGAAGGCAATTTAAAATGCTAATATTAATTTTAACTTCATGAAATTACAGAAGTAAAATCAGAGCATGTATCTTATGGAAAAATGTGGGTAGTGGGAAGCATAATGGAAATACAGTAAAAGTTAACAGTGCAATATTTTTTAACTTTATATACTGGTAATTCTGTGTATTTTTTTTCCTTTGAATAGATGTAGATTATTTGAATAGACATTGCTGACAATAATGGAAATATTACTATAATCTGATATGCAGGAGGTAGAGACATTCCCAGAATTTTTAGGTTTTATTTATATTTTATGCACCTGGGGATTAAATATGAATTTATTTTCCCAGATTATTTTTAAAAGACTTTCAAATTCAGCAGTTCTTTTGAACACCACAGTATACACATGATACTTATAATTTATTAGCATTCTTACTGTTTGGATGAAAAAATTTGTTAAGTTACTGCATACTGTTAAAATCTGTTAAAAAAATGGTCCAGATTCAGTCACCTCCATGATTTTGCTGGTCTGTGTGTTGTAGAGAAAAATCTGGTTTTGCCAGTTAACCTCATTTTAGTGGTGTGCTTAGAATGATTTTTGTGTTGTACATTGTAGCTTTCTTCTTCAGCTGTGAAATGAATTTTGTAGAAACCTGAGAAATACATACTAGCTGTTACCCAGCCAATACACCATGCAAGTTTAGTATGCTCATTTGACATGACATTATTCTTCACTATCACAGAGATGGAAAATTTAGATTTGAGGCTGCTTAACTAGTAAGGGAGGCCACTGGTGTTTAGAAGGTAAATCAAGGGTTGGTAGTGACACAAATAATCCTTTCAGTAGACAAGTAGATAGTCAGAGCCCTCCAGCTTACCTGCTGAGAGGCAGATGAGCTGGCACCTTGAGTGTCTGCAGAGGGTATTAGTGTTTCTCTAATAGAAATTAGTTAGTTTTGTGCAACAGTCATTGGTGTTCAGGTCACTATGTGGACAAACAGAATGGCAGAGAATGGCAAAAAAAAAGTACATGTTTTAGTGTTCTGTACAGAAGTTAGGCCTGCTATACATTTTTAAATTATAGAGATTTTTAAATAGACTTGATGGCCTTGAAGGTCTTTTCCAATGTAAATGATTCTATGACAAATTACCACTGTATAGAATTATAGAATCATTCTGGTTAGAAGAGACCTTCAAGATCATCAAGTCAAGCGTTAATTCAACATGGTCAGGTCCCCACTGCCCCGTGTCCCTCAGCACCACATCTCCATAGCTTGGAAACCCCTCCAGGGATGGGGACTCCACCACTGCCCTGGGCAGCCTGGGACAGGCCTTCAGAGCCCTTTCGGGGAAATTTTTACCTAATATCCAACCCAGACTTCTCCCAGGACAACTTGAGGCTCTTTCCTGTTGCCCTCTCTCTCGTTCCTTGGAGAGGTGACCAACCCCCACCTGGCTCCAGGCTCCTGTCAGGAGCTGTGCAGAGCCAGAAGGTCTCCCCTGAGCCTCCTTTGCTCCAGGCTCAGCACCCCCAGCTCCCTCAGCTGCTCCTCACCACACTTGGGCCCTAGACCTTTCCCCAGCTTTGCCCTTCTCTGGACATGCTCCAACCCCTCAAGGTCCTTTTTGGAGTGAGGGGCCTTCCCCCCTGAAGTAAGTCATAGGGTCATAATAAATCTATTCAGTGAGATATTGATCTAGTTTTGTTATAGAGAACTGAAACCTAGCCTGTGCTTGTTAGTTATTTTATTTATATACTATCATAATTTAATACTTATAAATGCTAGTTTTCTATGCAATTTATTATTAATGTTTTTTGTGGTGCAGCTTCACAACGCTGTGGCCGAGATGGAGAAGGAGAAGTTTAATATTCGGAAGAAGCACGCAGAAGATATTCAGGAGCTGCTGGAGGACACCAGTGCTCGCCTCAGCAAGATGGAGGAAGACTGTCTGAAACAGAAAAAGTCAACTGTAAGCTTTCCCTAGTATGTCATGACAGGAAATGTCTCTTACAAATTTCCTGCATTTGTGCAAAAGTGTACATAAACACTGGTGGGCTGTGAAATGGGTTTTGATAGTGCAGTGAAGTGATTCTGTCTAAGGAGAGAACTCTGTCCTGGCAGCCAGTCCAAGCAAGGATAGATTTCCCCCTGGATACGATTCCTCAAAGTGCAGCCCTTCCATGGGTATTACACACATACATATTTCTATTGAAGGATCCCTTCTAGCAGTTTTGCTGGTTTTGATTCAGGTTAGCAGAACTTTTGTCTCTCTAGGTTTGTAGACTATAAAAAAGGATTTCTATAGTACATCTATTTTCATAGATACATGTGACTTCTTCCTTACCCACCTACTCTTCAAGAGATCAAATGTTTCTGTTTGATTAAAGATCAAGTAAAAAGGATTTTAAAAATAATTATTTTATTACTCTAATTTATTGCTTTTCTTTCCTAGAATGATTACAAACATGTAAACAGGTGTAATCTGGATTTTGTGCCTGCCCTCTAAACAGTATAAAGAGCAAAAAATTAACATTTATCCTGAAGAAAGCATCCTGTACTTTTTATCAGGATGAGTTATGAAGAAAATTGAATGAGTGAAAAGACAATGTCAAACAAAATTTATTCCTTTTTTTAAATGCAACTTTTGTTAATAATTAGCATTCAGATCATGTCATAGGTAACAGTAAATACAGAGAAAAATGGACACAGTCTGTCAGCAAGATTGAATTTAAGAACCATCAAAACTAGACAGATCTTGCTGAGCAGCTTCTGATTTAATAATTAAACAAGGTAGAGTTCAAGGCAGGGCTTAAGATGAAAGACTAGACTGTCACTGGAAATTAGTTTTCTTTTTTTTCCTCTCTCTCTTTTTCCCTTTCCTGGTTTGTTGCTTTTTTTTTTGTTGGTATTTCAGAGTTTCAGGTTGTCATGAATGCCATTACTGTTAGCAGGTGAAACTGGCTGAGCAGTTTAACTAATGCCATGGAAGTGACCAGCAGGGTTTGTGCATTGGACAAGTATTAACTTCCTGAAGGGGCAGGGAGGAACGACAGTACTGGGCAGCCTGTTAAGGATGAATCTTTTTTTTTGCATGTCTGTTTGGTTTGTTCTTTAAAAACAAACCACCCCCACACGCTCGTATAACAGTTCTGTGAGGGCTGGGACACTGAGATTGCAGATGTTTACATTTTTATTTCACATTAATAGAGGGTGAAAATACTGTTGCACTTCCCCCATCTTCAAATTTTTGGTAATATAAAAATAACTATGATATATACATCCTGGAAGGACAGCTGTGTCTTATTTTTTGAGTCCAGTCTCTTGAGGAATTCTTCTAGTATTTCTGTGCATATTAACATAAATTTAAGGAAGAATGAGAAGTAGTAGAGTACTCTCATGCTACCTACCTGTTCATTCTGTCAGTTTAAAAATTGTTTATATTAGGAGATAAATGTCTGGGAAAAAGATACAACTTATGACAGATGTTTGTAATTTATTGAAAGGAAATAACTGTAATTAAACAAATGATATGGAGAAGTGGATTAGGGGAAAGTACACCAGTGGAGACTGGAGGAAAGCACCCTCAGTCCTGATAGAGATTTGCTTTATTCCTTTGGACACCACTTTCCTTCTCTGTGTCACTGTTTTCCAGTAATAAAATGGAGCTGATATACTTACCTTACAGGATGATTGGTGAATTATTTAATTAATACTTGTTAATTGAATTGAAACACAACTAGAGAGCATTTGCACTGTTGATGTAGCATTTGTATTATAGTCAACCTCTTAGATCTTCCAAATTCATAGCAGATATTACTCTTATTGTTTACATCCTCGGATGTGGTTTTGCCAAAGTGTGCACATAAAAGACAGTTGTTTAAAAACTATAATTCTTTAGCAACTGAAGTGCATTTCTCTTTGCTTTAGTTTAGAAATTTGATATATCTTTTTGTCTGTAAACAAATGATGGCTGTAAAAGTACTCAAAATACTTTCAGCATGAGAAAGCTACAGTTATCACTGAGTGCTACACAGTTTAATATGTTTTCTAGCTGACTTTTATTGCTGCTTTTCCATAATGATCAGCTATATATACATATGTAAATTATAAATATCTTTGTGTGTATATGGGGTTTGTCCCCCAAATAATCTCTCCCTCATCCAGATTGTACATATTACTAGTCATAACACATGTTGGTTAGTGGAAGGTCTAAAAAAGCTTTACATGTATTATCATCCATTAGAACTTTGCACAGAAATATCTGTTGGTGACAGATTTGTAGTTCAAAAACCAGTTGCACATGTTGTGCTTAGGGGAGAAGACAGGTTACTTTGAGTGGAAGGGTTAGACATCCATATTTTGAAGATTTATTTTTTTTATATACAAGATAGAATTCACTGTCATGATTGATGACAGCTTTGCTTTGTAACTCTTGTGTCTCTGGACCACCAAAGAACCTTGTTGCTCTAGGCTACTGAGTAACAGCAGGGATATGCTCTAATTTATTCTGGTGTTTTCTCAACAATGACCTATTCTTTTAGGATGAGACGGTCAAAGACCTGGAGGCCCGTGTCCAGCAGCTGACTGTTGAAGCTGAAAATAATAATTTACAGCGTCAAAAATTATCTCAAGAAAAGGCTGATGCAGAACAACGTTACCAGGCGGTCTGCTCTGAACTTCAGGAAATGAAAGCAAGGTAATTAAATAGCAGTTGCTGGTCTTAACGTTGGAGAGTATTGAATTTCCAAAAGCAAATGTTATTAATTTAATTTCAAGAACTTAGTGAATGGTAATTGTCGTTAGAAAATTGTCATTAAAGTGTACTAATTGCTGTAAAACTCATTTTAGAACTGATCCAAATGACCATTGTAAGTTGTATGTTATTCTTCCATTATTTCTAAGCATTTCATTCTGTTACAATGGGTATGTGATACAGGCAGACCTGAATACTCTGTAGAATTGATACTGAGCCAGGTAAGTTGCCAAAAGATGAAAGCAATTTGTATATTCTGTTTGCTTACTAATTGTAGGCACAGCTCACTCCAGAAAGAGATGGACCACATTATACAGGAATATGAGAAGAATATTCAGCAACTACAAAGTAAATATGATGTCGATATGAATTTTATAAAGCAGGAACATGCTCTCTCTGCAGCTAAGGTATGCTACCATGTATATAATAAGCATTAAAATCTTTGGGTTTTAAGTGATCTCCTCAATATAAAAGTAATGGTTATGAATAAATCCAAGGAGTGATTCCATTCCTGAAGTTATTCAGATCCTTAAGATAAAATAAAATAAAATGGGGATTTCATTTTTTGTTCGCAAATTTGACTGAAAAATCATCTGAAGTTGACTGACAATTTTGTGGGGTGTGTATATGTGACATAGGCATGGTATTTCCAGAGCTGATTCAGATAACATACAGTTAATATATTAGCTGATTTTCTTTGTGCCTCTCTAAAAATTCTGAGTACTAGAGGCCATCACCACTCTTAAAGTCTTAATGTTTTCATAAGGTTTCTTTAATATTTTTCATAGAAATAAACTGCCTTACAGGCTTCTTTACTATGGAACATAATGTCAAATATACAGGTGTTTCAGAAATTATTTTTAAATTCTGCAAGTGTACCTTGCACCCACAATGTAATAATTCTGGTTTGTTTCTGTAACATTGATATCTACCAACATGCATAGGTAGATATAAAGTATTTATTTAATATAATCTTCAAGTGAAATAACTGTAGAAATGGCTCAGTTTTTTTTTTACCAGCTGCCAATCTTTAGAATAATAGGACAAACTTTTTTTTTCTGCATTTCTTTACTGCCATTCTGGAAGCTTTGATGATACTTTACTCCATTTAATTTACAAGGTATTTTTTTTCAGTAGTTAGTGCCAAGGTTTTTTTCATTATTAGGTTTATTTTGCAGTTTTGTTTCCATTTCTAAGTTCACCAGATGGACAGCAGTGACATTCTGGAGCTGTAAACTCACACAGGTTTGTTTGTTGGTTTTTTTTTTACCACAAGCTGATATTTTTTTCTGATTTCCAGGCACTCTTTGAGAAATGAATTTAAAACTGCAAAAAATGTACCTGTAGAGCTAATAAGGAATGCAATACAGAAATTCTTTTTCTCTGTTATATCCCTGCAGGCATCTGATACTATTAAGGAATTACAGCAGAGTGTGTCTCTATTAAAACAACAGTTAGAAGAGTCAGAGCATCAAAGACAGCAACAGCTGAGGGTGAGCCCTGAATTTCTTACTCGAGTGACCAGCCCTTTTCTACTTTTTCCAGTGATTTTAATGTTTAGATAGCCATGCTAACATGCACTTCTATATAACATCTTTATAGGTTTTTCATAGAAATATATAAAATGTCATCTTATACTTAAAGGTTAATTAAAAAGTGTACCTAACAAAGATCATTTCACGGGTAAGAGCAGGATTTTCATGAGAACTTTCTTGTAATTCACATGTTAAACCAGTATAAATGTGTTTCAGTGGATTATAGAGAAGCATGGCAAAGAATGACAAATATCAGGGTTATTTTTTCCTAAACTGAAACATTTTTAAGTTTTAAAATTGTTTCTATTTTTGTTGCTATTTAACAGTTCAATTTAATATTCAGTCTTCCTATGTGCATTGAAATTAATCCTCCGTCAGGATAATGAGTTCCACATCTGTATCATGGATCAATCTTGTTTGAGTTTTGGCATCTCCTTTTCCTCCTGTGTCTTTCATTTCACAGTTGGTGTAGTACAGAGTGGCATTTTAATAGCTCAGGAGAACAAGTTGTTTTTCTGGAGAAAACATGAATCATGACTTTTGAGATAGTTTTGTTGTTTGTGGGTGTTTTTGTTGTCGACTGAAGTGTTTCGTATGTTGAAAATGTTTTAAATGATGGTGTAAGTGGATTTTTAATTTTTATGAACTGTTCTATATATTAGCAAGTGTGTGTGTTTAATGACTGCTTTGAAAGGAAAGAAAAATGTCATTTGTTTCTTTAGAAAACCCACCTCTTCCTTTGCAGGATCAAGAATACAAGCTTCAACAGGACAAACTTCACTTGGAACGTGCATATGAAAAACAGGTAAAGTGGTGAGAAAAACCCCATCCTATGGACACTTCCAATTCTGTTGTGTAGAGAAGAGAAAGGTTTAAATTCTGAAAGCCCTACAGAAGTAAATTTTGAACTCCAGGCATTTCACATGAATTGGAAAATTATTTGGACAAATTCAAAGGAGAATTTAAGCACAGCTATTTCAGCACAGAGAGATCACCTCTGACTTTAGGATCCTGTTGCTGAATGGTGGAGGCTGAGAGAGCATTACCAAACAAGCACTACTGTGAGCCTGTCCTGTTTGTACACATTTCTTTTGTTAGCATCTGATGTGAACTGCTGTTGGAGAAAAGGTAATGGATTAAATTGAATTTAGCCTGACCATACTTCTTTTTCCCCAATATAGCTTTATTCCATACTTTTCCACAACTGGGATGTATTCTCTATGTCAACAGGCATTGTTTATACATCAGAAGCTTAAATTAAAAAATATTTTCATCAAAACCACCTCAACTTAAAGCATTTTACAAATACCATCTGCTCTTTCAGACTTTAAACATGAATAGGTTTCAAATTAAACTTCAATTTTAGTGTTGTTATATGTCAAAGTCATGGAGTGTTTAGGGAGAGGGTGCATTAGATACCTGCTTAAGTAATAAGATGTGTTGTTCAAACATATAATTTCTACACATGGCAAATTTATGTAAAATAATGAATTGTGATTGTAGCTACTTGCCACGTGGTAATAGCATTTGCAGCATGAATTGTGAGTTTTTGGTTTCAGTTAGTACCTTTTGCTGCCTTGAAATCAAATACTTTTTCATTCCAAGATATGTTTTGGTCTAATCCTAGCCTGTATTTGTCTTTTTAGACAAGTCATGGTTTTCATGAATGTTGGCTTCAAGAAAAGCCTAGAATTGGAACAACATTGCAGGTCAAAATAAAAATATTAGCTTAATTTGGATATCTCTTAGCTATTGAAGTCTAGTGGGCACTGGTGTATTGCAGTACTTCACTTCCTCTGCAGATAAGTACAGATTAAATGTGTCTGGTTGTTTCCAGGCACTAAGTCCAAATGCCATAGAATGACTCAAATTTACACCACTGAACTTTACCATTCTGGGTGCATCCTTATCACTTTTCTGCAGCAGTGCCTGCCCTGTGTGAATCTTGAATGAAGTCTGAGGATCATTTGGGTGAATGGTACTTGGCATGGGCTCAGAGCATGTCAGCAATCACACTGCACCAGTCAGCACAGATATTGAAGTTGTAACTCTATCAGTAAACAAGAAAACAGAGCCTTTATTTTTAATAGCTGACTTTACAGCAGTTTACCTATTCATAGATGTTGATGTAACTGTGTTTTTGAAATCAAATCTCTAACAACAGAGGACAAAAAAATGTGTGAACTATCTATGGATAGAGATCCATAAAACAGTGTAGATGGGCCCATAAAATACTAAAGCAAGCTTGCCTTGAAGTAAAGGAATCGTGAAGTCCCTGCTGCAATCTGTTCACTTAAGGACCTACCCATTATCTAATAATCTTTATTAGGCTACAGTGGCTATTGCCTGCTAGGATATTTCAACATCAAACAAATGATAGGTAGTAACCCTAAATGTCACTGTTTGATTCAATGTGCTTATCTGCTGGCTCAGGAACCAGTTAGGCTAAATGGTTTTACAAGCAAAGGAAACACCTGCTTTTTATAAATAATCTACTGCTTGTTTTCCAAACATCCAGCTCGAAGTGTAAGAACAGTGTCAGATATTCCTCAGAGCCATTCTCAAGCCAGCTGTTAAGTATAGATCACTTTACTGTGTCTGGTGATACCTTCTCTACTCTCCAGTAGACAGCCCATCACTTTGGAGGCTCTTTCAAACCAAGTATTCAGACTTTCATGTAGTAAACACCTACTTGGAACTGCTTACACTAGAGAATCTCAAAATTTGTCTTTTCATTGGATTATAGTCTTATGCTCCTGACTATAGGCTTCTTGAAATGTGTTGTTTTACTGTAGTGCTTTAATAGCATGGAACATTGCAAATGCTTGTAGGGGAATAAAGGATTTCCTGTGCTCCCCATCCAGCAAAGAAAATCAGGCTTAGTACCTCACCTTGTTACTCAGGCAATCCTAAAAGCAAAACAAAGCCTTGTATTTAATCTGCCTTTCGCAAAAAATACTATGAAAATCCATGGTTTGGACCATGCCTGGGAGGCTGCCAGATTTAGAAGCTGCTTTCCTCTCTTGATCCAGAAGTGCCAGAGAAAAGAATTCTTCATAAAAATGTGCACTCCTGGTAGGTGTGTTTAGGAAGTGTGAGCTGCTTTTCAGTCAATGGGGTTTTGTGACTATATCACTTTGTAGGGAGAGAAGCAATTCCTCAGATTGCTAAGATATGTTCCTTGTGAGGTCTTGAAAGGTGCCATTTCTGTTCTGCATTGATTGAATACTAAAAGGAATTAAAATTATATTTCAAATTTAAATGCTAACTAAAATATATTGGGAAAACTACAAACTTTTAGAGGAGAATTAAAGGGCCTCAAAGGTTTTTTTTTTGTAATTGAGACTCTTCAGGATATTTACATAAGAGGTCAATTTGTCTCATTTTTCTATACTTTATACACTTGGAAATGCAGTTTGCTGGAGGAGGTGGAGAGGAAGAGGGATAAACAGAGAGGTGTAGGGACTTTGATGTTAGTAAAGATCTTCTGTGTACTGAGGCCATGTTTAGTGATGTGGAAGATTTTTATACTGCAGGATTATTCAAAGTGAAGACATACTGAT